GGGGGGGGGGGGGGGGGTTCGGAGCGTATGCCCTATCCATCTCCATCTTTTCTTTATGATATCTTCATCGATGGGCAATTGATATGTCCTTTCCTAGCTGATTAAAAAAGGACTATACAAAGTTGATGAAAAATTCAAGACATTCTAGCACATCGAATTTTGGCCAGGGATTTCTTCTTCTATATGAAGGGCCCACGCCCAATTTATTGATCACTTAGGCTCCTATGCATGTAGAGGGGATTAGCAATGTTTCTGTGCCTGGTGTTGATGAGAATATTTCACGGATTGCAAGTGCTACTTTGTGAGGGTATCCAGCACTGGGAGTTGGAAGGCCTGAGGCAATAGACGCAAATATGTCAAGAGTTGTCGCCTTAACTGTTCCTTTTGGAAGCTTGTTCCAGTCCCTGTCCCTGATTGTCTTTGGCAGGAATGAGCAGTTCGTGTACATGCTTCTTGCTGGTGTGAGCCGGAACTGCGTAATCATTGTTTCGTCGATGTTTATGAAGGAGAGGGGCGAGTTTCTGTTTAATACTGGAGCAGTGGACCAATCCATCATGTATCTTGACAATCATGGAGAGCCTGGATAATCGTCGTAGTTCCTCCAACGGTGACCAGCCCAGACACTTCGAGGAAAAAAAAAACCCGACCAAAGTCATATATACTTATCATCATTTATCATTTTTAAGTGTATCAAACCTTGGTGGCACCTTTCTGCCCTTTGTTTTTAACTTTGGGTGGCCATTTCGTCAAATGGCCGAATTTCGGGCTTTGGCTGTTACATATAAAAGATTAACAAAGTGCTGAGTGAGCAGATTTTTTGAGTTTGCGGGGAGGAAAGTGATTCTTCTTGACATATAATGTTATGTGTTTACGTGATAGTGAAGGAGATAAATTGTAACGATACGTTTTTGGTGTAGCTAAGATTCCGTAAAATAGTTTGTCATTTTAGTTTAGCGTAACCGGTTGTAAACTCGAGTGTTTACCTTATGAAGGAGATCAACATTTTTGGTTGCAATCTGGACGATTTCGGGATACATTCAGTGATATCGGCTATTATGCAAGGGATTTCGTGAAAAATCTAAATATTTTGGAAAGAACATTCTATATGAAATGAATAAAAAAAAAATTATGTTCAATTGAAATGCATCGCTTTTAAATGGTATTGTTCCAGTTTTTTTTTTTTTTTTTTTTTTTTTTTTTTTTTTCAACCTTTTTTTTTTTTTTTTTTTTAAATTTTTTTTTTTTTTTTTTTTTTTTTTTTTTTGTACTCATGAAGGGGCATTTTCCGAAAATTTTAAATTTGTGTTTTATAAAAATCATTATTAAAGCTGAACATATATTGTTTTACTGTCACAAATTGTTTGTAACAAAATAATCTACTTTAAAGTCTTATCGCCATCCAACACTCTTAATATCTGTGACATAAATGTTTTGGAAAAAAAGCTCCTACTCCCCCTCCCCCCGTCTAGAAATTATTATTACACAATTATATGTTTCACAATGTTCAGACGTCAAGTAAATTATCTTCCAGTCTCAGCACAATGTTTTCATGTCTTAGGCAAAGCTGTCTTACTGTGCACAGGAAAGACCTTCATTTTTGTTCACCGATAACAACGTGCTTAAAACGTCCATGAACGACTCAGTCGCGGCAAGAAGTCATGACACTTCATCATTGATATTTATATAGCTTATCTAAGGAAGATTACGGATTTTGACCAAAGGGAGCCAACTCTAGGTCGGGATAAACAAAAATGACCAAGCCTTTTCTGATATTTAAAAAAATATCTATGGAAAAATTTCAGCTCTGTAAGTCCAGAAGTCTATAACCATCAAACAAACAAACACACACACATTGAAATTAATTGTATCTATGTCACTTTTAAATCCCGAATTCAACCAGTTTGCGAAATGTTTTGCGAAATGGTTTGCCAAAGTGTGAGACGGTCAAAGTACCTGCAAACTGGCTGGCGAAAAGTCCGATAGTTCTTCGATTTTGCTGTTCGGTCGGTCATTTTGTGAAGCGACGTGAGATGATCGGCCAGTTTAGTCAGGACTTTTGATGTGGTCATGGCTTCAAGTGTGAGCAGTTTAACGTGCAGAGTGGACAATTGGCATGATAACACGTTGTTTGACAACACCGTGTTCCTTACCTTATTTAATTCCTTATGCCTTTCTATCCCGTCTGGGGCATACGCCGTCTACAAGAGTGTTCCACTGATCACGGTCCTGTGCTTTCCTTTCCAATTGCTTCCAGGTGTATCCCATATTTTGTGTGTCTGCCTCTAGCTCGCGTCTCCATGTATTCTTAGGCCTTCCTCTCTTTCTTTTTCCCTGTGGGTTTCATGTTAGGCATTGTCTGGTGGTGCTATCGGGGGGGTTTCGGAGCGTATGCCCAATCCATCTCCATATTTCCTTTATGATATCTTCATCGATGGGCACCTG